TCTGAGTTTGCTCTGTCAAAGTCATTTGCACCCCCCCATCCACAAAGAGGAGTCTCTCCTCAAAGTGGCTGGGTGCCTTAGACACTGAGCCTCAAAACTAGGTGTTTGATATTTTCTGGAGGAGGGAGCTGGTTTGAAGTCTCCCCTAACCTCTACCTCACCTATTATGTTTATTTCATCTTGCTTGGGAATAACCACTGCCACACTGTCTATGGTACCTGGAAAAGAACAGGCTCTAGACGAACAGACTGTTCTTTTGGAATGTCCTGTATTCTCTTGTCTGTTTAAAGGGAAGCAAAGATTTCCTGGGCCTTTTTTGATGCATCTGCCACTGCCTTAGCCGAGTATTCCCCAAACATCTGCCACATATTACAATGCTGCAAGCTCACTGGATTCAAGAATGGTTTTCCAAGACCAATGCTTTCCCACAATGCCACTTGAAGCCAGAGCTCAAGCTGAGAACAAGAGTACCACAGGGTTCAGTTCTGTTCCCCTAATATTCAACGTGTACGTGAAGCTACTAGAGGATACTATGGGGTATATCTGGGCTGCAATGCCGTAAGTATGGAGAGTTATGAAGGTATTTCATAGAATCCTAGAATCTCAGGATTGGGAGGGACCTCAGGAGGTCATCTAGTCCAACCCCCTGCTCAAAGCAGGACCAATATCCAGACAGATTTTTTGCCCCAGATCCCTAAATGGCCCCCTCAAGGACTGAACTCACAACCCTGGGTTTAGCAGACCAATGCTCAAACCATTGAGCTACCCCTCCCCCCTAATATGCTAGTCTCTTTTGTACTGAAGAACTACATGAACAGCCAGGGAAACCAAACATTCGTTCCCACACGTCGTAAGTTCCATCCTTCCTTCATTTGAGTTCCATGTTTAAATGAGATTGTTCTGGTCTGTCTACAGGGCAAACATTGCCAAGCCATTCTAAGACCACCTTTTTGGAGGGAAGGCTTGTACAGAGAAGTGTTTTACACAAGACTCTGTCTGATTTCTGGTGGTAGGAAAGTCCGGTAAACGACCTTCCACTGGCCCTTGCAAGTTTCATCCTGAAGTCAGCTGGCTGCAACATCTGCCGTGAGCGGGTGTCAGAGAGAGATCATCTCTGAGGTTGCTAGATCCTAAAACAGTCTAATATAAGAGTTGAGACCTTCAGGCAGATCCAGAATTGGATGGGGAGCCAGTGCAGCATGCACAGCAACATGTTCTTTTCAGCAGTTCTGTTCAAGGGGGAAAGGAGTCCAGGAGAGCTGGCTGTATTTTAAAGAATCCTTATTGAGGTTGCAAGAAAAAAACAGCCTGATGTGTAGAAAGAACAGTAAATATGGCAGGCGACCAGCTTGGCTTCACAGTGAAATCCCTGCTGATCTTAAATGCAAAAAAGAAGCTTACAAGAAGTGGAAGATTGGACAAATGACCAGGGAGTATAAAAATATTGCTCAGGCATGCAGGAGTGAAATCAGGAAGGCCAAATCACACTTGGAGTTGCAGCTAGCAAGAGATGTTAAGAGTAACAAGAAGGGTTTCTTCAAGTATGTTAGCAATAAGAAGAAAGTCAAGGAAAGTGTGGGCCCCTTACTGAATGAGGGAGGCAACCTAGTGACCGAGGATGTGGAAAAAGCTAATGTACTCAATGATTTTTTTTGCCTCTGTCTTCTCGAACAAGGTCAGCTCCCAGACTGCTGCACTGGCCAGCACAGCATGGGGAGGAGGTGACCAGGCCTCTGCGGAGAAAGAAGAGGTTCGGGACTATTTAGAAAAACTGGACGAGCACAAGTTCATGGGGATGGATGTGCTGCATCCGAGGGTGCTAAAGGAGTTGGCGGATGTGATTGCAGAGCCATTGGCCATTATCTTTGAAAACTCATGGCGATCGGGGGAGGTCCCGGATGACTGGAAAAAGGCTAATGTAGGGCCCATCTTTAAAAAAGAGAAGGAGGAGGATCCGGGGAACTACAGGCCAGTCAGCCTCACCTCAGCCCCTCGAAAAATCATGGAGCAGGTCCTCAAGGAATCAATTCTGAAGCACTTAGAGGAGAGGAAAGTGATCAGGAACAGTCAGCATGGATTCACCAAGGGCAAGTCATGCCTGACTAACCCAATTGCCTTCTACGAGGAGATAACTGGCTCTGTGGATGAGCGGAAAGCAGTGGATGTGTTATTCCTTGACTTTAGCAAAGCTTTTGATACAGTCTCCCACAGTATTCTTGCCACCAAGTTAAAGAAGTATGGACTGGATGAATGGACTATAAGGTGGATAGAAAGCTGGCTAGATTGTCGGGCTCAACGGGTAGTGATCAACGGCTCCATGTCTAGTTGGCAGCCGGTTTCAAGCGGAGTGCCCCAAGGGTCAGTCCTGGGGCTGGTTTTGTTCAAAATCTTCATTAATGATCTGGAGGATGGCGTGGACTGCACTCTCAGCAAGTTTGCAGATGACACTAAATTGGGAGGAGTGGTAGATATGCTGGAGGGTAGGGATAGGATACAGAGGGACCTAGACAAATTAGAGGATTGGGCCAAAAGAAACCTGATGCGATTCAACAAGGACAAGTGCAGAATCCTGCACTTAGGACAGAAGAATCCCATGCACTGTTACAGACTAGGGAGCGAATGGTTAGGCAGCAGTTCTGCAGAAAAGGACCTAGGGGTTACAGTGGATGAGAAGCTGGATATGAGTCAACAGTGTGCCCTTGTTGCCAAGAAGGCTAACGGCATTTTGGCCTGTATAAGTAGGGGCATTGCCAGCAGATCGAGGGACGTGATCATTCCCATCTATTCGACATTGGTGAGGCCTCACCTGGAGTACTGTGTCCAGTTTTGGGCCCCACACTACAAGGAGGATGTGGAAAAATTGGAAAGAGTCCAACGGAAGGCAACAAAAATGATTAGGTGGCTGGAGCACATGAGTTATGAGGAGAGACTGAGGGAACTGGGATTGTTTAGTCTGCAGAAGAGAAGAATGAGGGGGGATTTGATAGCTGCTTTCAACTACCTGAAAGGGGGTTCCAAAGAGGATGGATCTAGACTGTTCTCAGTGGTACCTGATGGCAGAACAAGGAGTAATGGTCTCAAGTTGCAGTGGGGGAGGTTTAGGTTGGATATTAGGAAAAACTTTTTCACTAGGAGAGTGGTGAAGCACTGGAATGGGTTACCTGGGGAGGTGGTGGAATCTCCTTCCTTAGAGGGTTTTTAAAGCTTGACAAAGCCCTGGCTGGGATGATTTAATTTGGAATTGGTCCTGCTTTGAGCAGGGGGTTGGACTAAATGACCTCCTGAGGTCCCTTCCAACCCTGATATTCTATGATTCTAAGTTTGCTGCTGCATAATGAACGAGGTAGAGCTTCCACATGGCTCCTATGTGGCCTTCATTACTGGCAGAACCCATTGTGGTCATCCAGCCTGGAGGCAATGAAGACACAGATCACTGTGATTAGGTCTGCATCACAAAGAATCACACTCTTCTGGCCTGCTGAAGATAGGAAGAGGCATTTTCTGGCAGTGTGGAGTCAGTAAGAGCTGCATATCAATTGAAATGGCAGATGCTCTCAAAGGGCAAAGACATGGTTCCATCCAATTCTTCAAAACACTTCCCCCCTTCCTACAAGCATCGCATCTATCCTTCCCAGACTGAGGTTGAACTAACACTTTCACTCAAGCACCAAGTCAGTTGGCAAAGGACATAATTCATGTCTGAGGCACAATGTTGTCATGAACGGCTACTACTGAAGCCCATATCATCCTCTAATATCCTCTAGTAGTTCAATATACATGCTGAAAGATAGACACAGGTCTCAATACTGCAAGATTCCACAGATGAGAGCGCTCAGGGAAGACTAGCAACCAACCACCACAACCCTCTTGGATATGTCCACAAGAAATGACACTTAGCCAACTCAGTGTGACTCCACCCATCCTGCCAGGTCACCCTGACAAGGCGGTAGTACAGGGAGGCAGTGTCAAAAGCTGCTGGTAAATCTTAAAATATTAAGATGGATGGCTGCCTTCTGTCCAAGCCCAAAAGACGAACATGTGTTAATCTTCAGGACACACTAAGACCCCAATTGTCTCCCTGGCCCACGGGAGGTTGATGGAAAGACGGAGGTTGGCACTTCAGAGGTAGTTTTGCTGATAGGTTGCTGCTGTAACTGTGCTCTCACTAAATCAACTGTTGAGTCTGCTATTAATTGGCAAACTGTACAACAGCACCAGAGCCTGGGATGGCTGCCCTTATGTAGTTAGTACAAACCTCAATCAAATAAATGACTGAGAAACTTCTAGGTTACTGATATATCAGGTGCTCCTGGAATCTTTTTTGCCCCACTTTCTTAACCTTACTCAAAGAAGGGAAGTAAGACAGGGCTTTAATTGGTAAGATCTTCTGCAGCCCATGTTAATCTATTGCAAGTCTTATGGCAGCCAATACCTTATCCAAGAGTGGTACTGATATGCTTTGGATCAGCAGATGATCTAGGTGGGTGTCACTCATCACAAGTAAAGAATTCATTTATGTGGTTACATGGACTTCCCACAGTACTTAGAGGTCCTGTAGTGATGTGCCTGAGTCAAACTTGTGAAAGGTCTTCAGAATCCATTTGCTTGGTCCTGGAAAAACTTCTGAGTTTAGCTAGAATTTTTGGAAAGCAAGCAGAGAACTCCTCTCAGCAGGACATATTTGGGTCCAAGGCAGAATGAAGGAAGTCTGGTTTAATTATTCTTGTCACAGTTTCGCTGATTCCATGGCAGAGGAAAAAGTGGCTCTTAAATCTCCCTTGCAGATGTGACATGGATTTGCATGGACTCCTTGTGACAATCAGATTCAATTTCTGTCTTGTGCCACTGCTGCTCTAATTGTCTGACCTAAGTTTTTATACCACATGCATCACCTATTGAGCCCATCAAAACCATAGAGATGTGACACTGGCAGAATACTTGCAAGGATTAAAGTTATTTTTCTCAGTGTGACACTGCAAATACAACTTCCTGTCACTTACTTGAATCCATTCCTGCTCCATCATCCAAAAAACATAGCATGAATTGACCTCGCAGGTCCTCTCGCCGTTCTACAACAAGAAAAGAATTAACAGAACCATTACACAAAAATAGGAAGGGGAATTAAAAATTGTTTGAAAAAGTGTCCAAACAGTTTTCATGACTGGAGTAGCACAGCAAGCAGGACTCAAACTTCAAGCTGATTTGTGTGTGGTACCACTACAAAATGATTAGACACCATCAATAAGAACTCTTAGTAAGAAAAACAGGAGCAGATGAAATTGTAGGTGTTATTACAGAAAAATTAATCTCTTTCATAGAATCATAGAAGATTAGGGTTGGAAGAGACCTCAGGAGGTCACTTAGTCCAATCCCCTGCTCAAAGCAGCAACAACACCAACTAAATAATCCCAGCCAGGGCTTTGTCAAGCCGGGCCTTAAAAACCTCTAAGGATGGAGATTCCACCACCTCCCTAGGTAACCCATTCCAGTGCTTCACCACCCTCCTACTGAAATAGTGTTTCCTAATATCCAATCTAGACCTCCCCCACTGCAACTTGAGACCATTGCTCCTTGTTCTGTCATCTGCCACCAATGAGAACAGCTGAACTCCATCCTCTTTGGAACCCCCCCTTCAGATAGTTGAATGCTGCTATCAAATCCCCCCCACTCTTCTCTTCTGCAGACTAAACAATCCCAGTTCCCTCAGCGTCTCCTCATAACTCATGTGCTCCAGCCCCCTAATCATTTTTGTTTCCCTCCACTGGACTCTCTCCAATTTGTCCACATCCCTTCTGTAGTGGGGGGGACCAAAACTGGACACAATACTCCAGGTGTGGCCTCACCAGTGCCGAATAGAGAGGAACAATCACTTCCCTCGATCTGCTGGCAATGCTCCTACTAATCAAGCCCAATATGCCATTGGCCTTCTTGGCAACAAGGGCACACTACTGACTCATATCCGGCTTCTTGTCCACTGTAATCCCCAGGTCCTTTTCTGCAGAACTGCTGCTTAGCCAGTCGGTCCTCAGCCTGTAGTGGTGCATGGGACTCTTCCTTCCTAAGTGCAGGACTCTGCACTTCTCCTTGTTGAACCTCATCAGATTTCTTTTGGCCCAATCCTCCAATTTGTCTAGATCACTCTGGACCCTATCCCTACCCTCGAGCGTATCTACCTCTCCCCCCACTTAGTGTCATCTGCGAACTTGCTGAGGGTGCAATTCACCCCATCATCATCCAGATCATTAATAAAGATGTTGAACAAAATCGGCCCCAGGACTGACCCCTGGGGAACTCCGCTTGATATCAGCTGCCAACTAGACATCGAGCCGTTGATCACTACCCATTGAGCCCGACAACCTAGCCAGCTTTCTATCCACCTTATAGTCCATTCATCCAATCCATACTTCTTTAACTTGCTGGCAAGAATACTGTGGGAGACCATATCAAAACCTTTCATCAGGAAAGGAAGGTAGCCTAAGCTCACATGCTAAATCAAAGCAAGCAGAGGAAGCTTATGTTTTAAATTTCTGAGAAGAAAATAATCAAGCTGTGTACAATTGTGGTCACCCATGTTCCAAAAAGATAAACTGGAACAGATGCAAAGAAGATCTACTAGGATGATCAGGGGAATGAAAGGCCCAGAGCTTGGCTTGTTTAGTAAAGCAAACAGAAGGCTGCAGGGGGTTTTCTGCTCTCTGTAAATACATTAGGGGGATAAATACCAGGAAGGGTGAATAGCTACTTAAGCTAAATGACAATGTAGTCAGAAAAACAAATGGCCATGAACAAATCCAGGCTGGAAATTAGAAGTAGATATCTAACCATCAGAGGGATGAGGTTCTAGAACAGTCTCCAAACAAATGGTGGGGGCAAACAACATTAAGAGATGGTCACAGCTGGAAATGAGACCTTGGGGGAGGCCCTGGCCTCAGAGATGACACCGTGCATTCTCTCTGTCAGGTGCTTGACTGGCTGGTTCTTGCCCATATGCTCAGGGTCTAACTGATCACCATATGCGGGGTCAGGAGGGAATTTTACCCTATGTCAGAACTAGTAGTGACCTTGGAGGTTTATTCACTTTCCTCTGCAGCATGTGGGTGCAATCACTTGCCAGGATTATCTGGGTTTATCTCAAGGAATCATTTCCCTGCCACTGCAGAGGGCTCTGGCACTAGCACATCTGGTCTCCTGTGGGGTGTAATACTTTGGTCTCATTTCAGTTGTTGGGTTAGTGCGCGGGTGCTGGGTGGTGTTGGTGCCCTGTGCTACACGAGGGCAGACTGGATGATTTATTGGTCCCTTCTAGCCTTAAACGCTATAAGATTCCTTTAGTCTGGTAAAGGATTCTAGTTGATTGAATTCAAGACCCATTTAAAGACAACGCAAGACTCCCCTCACCACCCTCCTACACCTCTCCTTCTGAATGATTTTTTGATGTTAGAAATGTAATGGATTTGAAGGCATTACTAATCTGTAATTTGCTGGGTGTATTTTGCAATCCTCCTGACATTGCTGACATCGAAGGAAAAGACAAGTCTGACTTACCTGTGTAAATATCTATTCTCGTGGCATCAGCATCTCTACAAAGTAACAAAAACACAATCAGCGTCCAAAGTGCGAATGAAGGTGAAAGACGCTGGGAGCCTGAGAGGATTTTGCATGTATGAGTAGGAATTTCAACAGGAGCTATCATTATGAATCAAAAACTGTCCAAGTCTCTAAGTATGCAGTGTTGTTGTAGCCGCGTCGGTCCCAAGATATTAGAGAGACAAAGCAAATTAGGTAGTATCTTTTATTGGACCAACTTCTGTTGGTGAGAGATGAGCTTACATAAAACTTTTCTTCAAGAGCTATGTTTACGTAAGCTCGAAAGCTTGTCTCTCACCAACAGAAATTGGTCCAATAAAAGGTATTACCTCACCCACCATGTCTCTCTAAGGCTCTAAGTGTCAGCACCCCTCAAAGAAATCCAAGAGGCTTTTGTGTACTATTGCATTTTTGGCCTTCCCTTGTTTGGATCCAAACTCCACCACAAGACACTGATGCTGCATACTAATTAAATCTGATTACAATGCAAATACCTATTCCATCATAAACACTCATTTTAGGAGGGAAAAATGAGTACATGAAGGAAAAATATCTTAGTACATCACGATGGAATAAGCCTCCAATTTCAAGCTTCTTTCAGCTTTTGAAAGACATCAATACTTCCGTTACATTACTTACCTTCTCCTCAAGGAAGAGTTCTTCAGAGTCTGTGCTCCCCTTTGTGTCTGGAACCTCCCTCCCTATCCCAATGCACCAGATGACCTAACTATTCTTCAAAATGGCCATAAATTCACTTTTGCAAAGCACAACAATGCACAACCACATCAAAAGGCTAGGGAAAAAAGGATATAAAATTGATCCTCCTTGGTCTCCCAACACACAGTGTATTTTCTAGCTGTTTATACTATCAGTTTTTCAAGATGGGGCCCGTCCTCCTCTTGGGCAGGGCCTGTATCTTATGTAGGATACAGGTGCACCATCACCATTCAGCTATAACATAAGCTTCTGTATTACATCTTTCTTCTTAAGATCTACTGGTAGTGAAGGTCACTCAGCTGCTTACCCTAAATATGTGAGCTAGTTAAACCACAGCAACTTAATTAATTCCCAATACAAATACAGTCTCAAATACATACCTGGCATTATCTACAAGCTCAGCAAGGGCACCAAACAAGAACTCATGAGTGGTTCTGAAATGTCAAACACTGAGAGTCAGGAAGGTTACTGCAATTTTGAAAGAGACTGTCTATCTCTCAATTTAATATGTATGTCAAACTGATTTTTTTTTTTAAAGTTTTTACCTAATTTGTAACATACTTCCCCGCCAATCAATGCAACAAAACTAGAGATCAGAGGTGTACTATTCATAGAATCATAGACGATTAGGGTTGGAAGAGACCTCAGAAGGTCATCTAGTCCTGTCAAAAACAGGAGACCAATAAGACAGCTACTGGTTAAATAATATTAGCAGTTTGAATCAAGAAAATCTAAACTATGATCTTTGTGTAGTGGCATTAAGAGTATTAGCTAAGGGGAAAATTATATTAGTTTAAAATTACCTATTACAAGGTGTCATAACAGTGACTCATTGACTGGCACTCTTCTATCAAGAAGCAATCAATTCATGTGAATCCTTGATTACTTATTATACTAACTGGTTCTTTTAAACGACAACTAATAAAACCTGCCCTGGCAATGATTAAACTGCACAGGATTGGAGGTTTCTTTTCCTTAAAAGCATCTCTTCAAATTCCAAGATTTAAATTTCTGATAAATATGAACTTGGTATGCATTCATATGCTTACTACTGTTGCACAAATCAGATGATATTTTCTGGAGAAATTAGTGGCTGCAGCTGTTGCTAATCCAGAAAAAGATTATCATGAACCAGCATGGTATGTTTCATCATATGATCTGAGGAATTCAATGTCAAAATTTCCCTGACTGAATCCCAATTCACTATAATCCTGAAGACAAAAATATTTGAGTCCAAAGTTCTTAACTGTCATCATTCGTAAGAAGTTCCCAATCCAAAATTGTAACATTCCACTTGGTTGCTCTGCTGCAGTCTTTTCCCACAAAGTCTTTTCCGAGTCTTTTAATGGCTCGTTCCCTTTTCTTTAAAGCCTTCGTTATTTTTTTGTCAAAGAACAATAGATGTAAAATCTCCGCTGTACATCCAACACGGTGATGCATCTTCAAAAGCTAATCGGTTTTCAAATGCAGACTACCTATGACCCTGTGAAAACTTCAGCTAAACTAGGGGAAACGCAGAAACTGGATGAATGGTGTTCCTCCCCAGGTTAAATTCAACGACCAGTATAGACTGGGCCACATGTAGAGCTAAAAAATGCACGTTTATTGACTCTGAACTTTACAAGAACACTTACTAGGGCTGTCAAGTGATTAAAAAAATTAATCGCATGATTAATCACACTGTTAAACAATAATAGAATACCATTTATTTAAATATTTTCGATGCTTTCTACATTTTCAAATATCTTGATTTGAATTATAACAGAATATAAAGTGTACAGTGCTCACTTTATTTTTTTTATTACAAATATTTGCACTATAAAACACAAAAAATAGTATTTTTCAATTCACCTCATACAAGTACTGTAGTACAATCTCTATCATGAAAGTTACATTTACAAATGTAGAATTATGTACAAAAATAACTGCACTCAAAAATAAAATGTAAAACTTTAGAACCTACAAGTCTACTCAGTCCTATTTCTTGTTCAGCCAAACGCTCAAACAAGTTTGTTTACATTTGCAAGAGATAATGCTGCCTGCTTCTTGTTCACAATGTCACCTGAAAGTGAGAACAGATGTTCGCATGGCACTTTGTAGCCAGCCTCGCAAGATATTTACATGCCAAATGTGGTAAGGATTCGTATGTCCCTTCATGCTTCAACCACCATTCCAGAGGACATGCGTCCATGCTGATGACTGGTTCTGCTCGATAACAATCCAAAGCAGTGTGGAGCGACGCATGTTCATTTTCATCATCTGAGTCAGATGCCACGAGCAGAAGGTTGATTTTCTTTTTTGGTGGTTCGGATTCTGTAGTTCTGCATTGGAGCGTTGCTCTTTTAAGACTTCCGAAAGCATGCTCCACACTTCATCCCGCTCAGATTTTGGAAGACACTTCAGATTCTTAAACCTTGGGTCGAGTGCTGTAGCTATCTTTAGAAATCTCACATTGGTATCTTCTTTGTGTTTTGTCAAATCTGCAGTGAAAGCGTTCTTAAAATGAATATGTGCTGAGTCATCATCCGAGACTACTAACACATGAAATATATGGCAGAATGTGGGTAAAATAGAGCCAGAGACATACAATTCTCCCCCAAGTTCAGTCACAAATTTAATTAACTTTTTTTTTTTTTTTAAATGAGTGTCATCAGCATGGAAGCATGTCCTCTGGAATGGTGGCCGAAGCACGAAGGGGCATATGAAAGTTTAGCATATCTGGCATGTAGATACCTTGCAATGCCAGCTACAAAAGTGCGATGTGAATGCCTGTTCTCACTTTCTGGTGACATTGTAAATAAGAAGTGGGCAGCATTATCTCCCGTACATGTAAACAAACTTGTTTGTCTTAGCGATTGGCTGAACGAGAAGTAGGACTGAGTGGACTTGTAGGCTCTAAAGTTTTGCATTGTTTTGTTTTTGAGTGCAGCTATGTAACCAAAAAAAAAAAAATCTACATGATAAAGATATTGCACTACAGTACTTGTATGAAGTGAATTAAAAAATACTACTGATTTTATCATTGCAACAGTGCAAATATTTGTTATAAAATATAATATAAAGTGAGCAGTGTACACTTTGTATTCTGTGTGGTAATTGAAATAAAAATATTTGAAAACGTGGAAAAAATATCCAAAAATATTTAATAAATGTCAATTGGTAGTCTATTGTTCAACAGTGCGATTAAAACTGCAATTAATCACAATTAATTTTTTTAATCATGACTTTTTTTTTTTGGAGTTAATCGGGTGAGTTAACTGCGATTAATCGACAGCCCTAACACTGAACACATAATTATAAAGGTACTTTGTCCAAATGAGCCTCTCAGACATAACAACTATGATTAAACTTTCATATCCACTACAAAAATCATTAGAACTAACCCATCAGCTGAACTCTGATTAGAATAAAAGTAGTAGTATTCAGGCTGTACCCATAGGTGCAGAAGGATGGGATGTTTCTGTTAAAGCGATCAGCAATGAAGAAGCTGATATTAGCTTTCAGGAATCACTACATTTATACTAATGGAGCCCTTCCAATCTTTCAGACTCTGTTTCAGTTTGCCTGCAGGCTAAGGATGAGAGCTCTGTATCAGTTTACATTTGGAAGGTTCTTTTCATAACCAGAAGAACTAGAAACTTTTTATTTTCTTTTAGAACGAAAGCTTAAAATTTGCACAGAACACAGGAATACTAGTAGCACTGAAACGCTAAATCCACAGAAAGGGCAGAAATTACCTCATGTACAGATTTCCAGTACTCCTATCAATTTAAGGACAATTACAAAAACCCACAAACATAGTCCACTGAAAATATATCTGGAGAATATTCCATATAATGGATAGCCACAAGCAAATGCATGAGTCGGAATTAATATACACTATACTTCTGCACCTTTGACTCTACATCCCAAAACACTTCAAACTACAACTCAGTGAATCAAATATTTGAGAATATGCATTGCTGTGTAATTAAAAAGATGTAAATATGGATTTAGAAACAAAAAGATCACAGGAAAGGGCTGAAAAAACAGATCACACCATAATCTACGGAGCGACAGAATGATTAATCCTTTTCTAAATAACTGTTTTTCCCACTGCACTCATCACAGTGGTATCTGAATGCCTACCAACACTGTAATCCCCTCATATCAGCTGAGGCAAAGAGATGAAACCTTGCTAAATCTGAGTGAAATGAAATCCAAAAATATTTATCACTAGCTAGCGCATATAAATATGTAGATTTCTTTGGAGTATGTATAAAATATATATACTATTACTGTCAAAACTAGCATCTTCTCAAAAGTCTAACGTTAACTTTAAAACCAAGCCAAGAGGCTGTTCTGCATTGTTATTAATGAATCTCTTCATTCATAGCAACAACATGCCTACTTCCTCCATGTCAAAACTACCCGACAAATAAGTACTTAACTTCCATCTATCCTTGCATGTAATGGCAGTGTAATGGTTCTCTCCCAAGATGCCCTCTTGTTGTACAGAAAAAAGCCCATGACCTGTTTCAGTTGCAAAGAACATGTCAAAAAACATGAATCAAACCTAACTGATGCAGTAATATCTGCCCAAGCTTGCAAAGAGTCTGAGACAATAGCTCTGAGAGGTGTGAACTATCCCTTTCACCTCAGTGTATATATTTACTCAGATGTCTCTACTTTAAGTGTCTTCATTGTTAAGCTTTTTCACTGCTCAATCAAATCATGTAAGAAGAGGAAATATATTTTGAAGATCTACAAAATCTACTCTGAGGGACAGTTCATTTTGAGAGCACGAAAGGGTGGGCTTGGGAAAGTACTATATTACTACCTCCTCCTACTCAAAAATGAGCACCACCAAGAGGGAGCCAAGCCCTAAGGAACCCAACAATGCCATGGGTGTGATGTATTCAGATCATGCTGAAAGAAAGCCAAATTCAAGGAACCCGGAAAGCATGTGTGATCATATTCTGAACATCTGCACAGTCTATTGAAAGCAACATCTGAAGGGAACAGGACTTATTTTGTGAGTGGAGCTTGGAAGAGTAACCTATCCTACCTAACAACCAATCTGATCGTACAGGTATGCAGAAGCAATGGGCACCTAATTAATACCACAGACTGATAAGTCAACTTCTCTGTAGCAAAGGTGGTCCCAGCAATGCACCAAATTCTACTTTGGGAGTTTGGCATCCTGTTAGCAAACAGAGCTGTCTTCCCTTTTTGTTACTGTAACAAAACCTTCATACATTGGCTTACTGTATCCTTCACTTGTAGGCAGAAAATACTTTTAATAGGTAAAGAATCTGCATTTTTTTTTTAATTTCTCAAATCTAGTGAGCAGCTGCTAGAGAAAAAATAAAACTTTTGCTCCACTTAAATATACGACTGCCATTCTAACTGTGTCTAACAGGTCAGTTCTAGTTAAAGGGCCAGCTTTCGTTTTAAATTGGCCATAAATATTAACTCTTGACCGCGGGGTGCCATTAGAAGATTTATTTCCGAAGATAAATTTAGTGGTACAAATTTTAACAAATTGTTTCAACCAACTATGCATTACAAACACATTCAAGCATACAGAGACAA